AAATTAATCTGTTCCAATAAGTTTAAATTGATTTTTACATTTTATGGGCATTTTTACCTTTATAAAGCCTTTTTATCTAAAAGTATGCTTCATCTTTTGAGTCAAATTCTTACATTTAATCAGTCAATTAGAATAAAAGACATTTGGGCTGTTACCAAACAAATGATATCAGTATCAAAATTCATCTTTGTAATGCAGAGGAAACGCGGAAGCTGCATGGGATGAATTTCCCGCACAGAGGGACATGAATTCATTTTTCACAAAACATAGCAAACGTAGGGACATCATAACTAGCCACCATATTGATTTACGATCTTAAATATGTCCGGCGCTTTTTTACAGTCTGTGGTCCAGCGTTTATCGGGTTGTGCGTCAGTAATAATGGTCTGTGGGGAAACACAGTGTTCAGTGTGTAGTTACAGTAAATGGATTTGCCTCGATGATTTTTTGTATTCGAGTTACTCGAGGTATTCGAGGAATCGTTTCAGCCCTAATCTAGAGCCCTGGTGAGCATAATAACTAATGTTGCAGGTTTTGTGGATTTTAACATTTTCCCCTCTCGTTTTCTTTTCTAGTGAAGTCCTTTGGCACTGAGGATCGTCCCACGGACAGACCGATCCCTCCTCGAGATGATGTCTTTGAGTACATCATATTCAGAGGAAGTGACATCAAAGACCTGACGGTGTGCGAGCCGCCCAAACCCACCTGCAACCTTCCTCAGGATCCCGCCATCGTGCAGGTGAGCGTCACGCGTTCAGGTGTATCTGCAGAGTAGACGGCGGAGTGAATATTGACCCGTGCCGTTCTTGTGTTTGTGTGCAGTCCTCTCTGGCATCCACAGCCGGTCCCACGGCTCCGTCCTTTCAGTCGTACGCCCCCTTCAGTCGGGCCCCGTACAGCCCGATGGTACCCCAGCCGTTCGGAGCGGCGGTCACGGCTGGTGAGTTCACACTCACTCTTGTAGCTTCCAGCATTGGAGATTGGTGTTTAAAAGAGAGTACACAAACAAAACATTATTTGAATTTATGCCAAATATCACATTGAAATCTCGGAAGTGCTTTAAGGCAAGACGTTACAGGCAAAACCATGCACAGGTCAATTTTGGTTCCATGTAATGTTCAAATTTTATTTGAAATAAACGTTTACGTGTATTTGCATCTGCAGATTTCAATTAGAGTTCATATCTTTAAAGGCTATTCTCTCAAAACCATTTTTTTCAGCACTTGCATACAGCAGACTTCACAGTTTTATTCCTCTCTATCCACCTTTTTCTTCAACGTGGAAGTAAGCCTATGGGCGAGACTTCCGGTTCATTAGCTGCTATAGGTAAACAACGAGAAGAATAACAACGTGCAGTAAACGGTAAAACTGTTTGCACTACAAACCAGTGTGTTCATAATTAAGACAGTACATTAAAATAATATGGTAAGACGCACAAATTTTCAATATCAAGCAGCAAAACGAACTGTTTTGTACAGGTACAAAATAGCTGGACGTGGATGAGACCGGAAGTCAGACCCATAGAATTTACAAATGGCCACGCCCATTTTTACGGCAAGAAAAAGGTGGATATTCTAAAGGTTTTTATCATTGGCTGATTTATGCAATTTAGTGCATATTTTGTTATGCCTCATATGCATATTTAAACATAACATTTCAGAAAGGGTAGTACAAAACAACTGTCTTAATGTATTGTATTTAATCAACTGGGGAAGTATGGTTATATCTATTGCAGGGGTGGCGAACGTCAGTCCTGGAGAGCCGCAGCCCTGCAGTTTTGCTTCAACCCTAATCAAACAAACCTGAACAAGCTAATCAAGGTCTGAACGGTTACTAGGAAGCTACAGGCAAGTGAGTTTTCATTAGGGTTGGAGCTGAACTCTGCAGGGCTGCTGCTCTCCAGGACCGGAGTTCGCCACCCCTGATCTATTAGTTGTATTAATTTTCTATTATTTTTAAATTTTTATTTTGTATTTTACTCTCACCTGTGGTGTCTTGCCTTGTCCTTAAATTGTAAACTTCCTTATGACATGGCATAAGAAACAGTGCCAGTTAAGATGATAGCTGGCCTTTTTTTTTTTTTATATGATAGGATAGATTGACAATATATTCACAAGTGCCTATTTGCATATCAAATTGCAAATGTTTATTTTGAAATAAATGTGTTTTATATTGCACACTTATAATATGTGCCAAGAACCAGAGGTTGAGGAGATTCCCCCCTTCTATGTAAAGCGCTTTGCGTGCCCAGAAAAGCGCTATATAAATGTAAGGAATTATTACCTGGAGAGGATGCACAGAATATTTTTTCTTAAACTTTAAAGAAATATTGACAAAGGCAAATTGTCTGAGTGAGCATTGGTTAAGCAAGTAGCTCTTATAAAAGGGTTGATTGCATGAGTGTTTGGCTCTTATGTAAGCTTCATATGAGGGTTTTTTTCTCCAAGTGTGTGATGTGTTAAAGCCCACACTTAAAGATGTGCACTTCCTCCCCTCACAGGAAGCAGCTCAGGTCCTGCGTTCGGTAGCGAGGCGAGCACTACTGCCCCTCTGTCCCAGAGCTCTGCTCTTCCCCCGCAGTCTCGCTCGCTGAGTGCTACCAAACCCGAAGGTAACCGGAGAACCGACGCTAACGTGTGAAGAATGGCTTTAGTGTGTTCGTCTTTTGGTCGTAATTACGCAGGACTACAGCATGTGTCTTTGCCGTGTCACAGTTTCATGACTCAAGTTTTCTTCTCTGGTCTGTTCGTAAACTGTGTTCTTTGAAGACAACATGAAATCAAAATAATAAATGCTGGTCTTTTTGTGCATGATTCATCAGTGCACATTTATTTTAAATAAATATTTTTAAATTTTTCATTAAATTGCAAGAACTATACTTTACCTTTGAAACATTTTGTGTTGATGTACGCAGTGCAAGACAAATAGTATAGTATTGACTACGTAGTAATCATACCACATTGTACACAATGCAGTCATCAAATCTGAATGGACAAAAGTCCCACTCCTGTGATGCACATTACAGAAGTTAAATGCATGGTAAATTATGCTCATTTCATGTTGTCTCAAAGGAATAGTTCACGGAAAAATGAACATTTGCTGAAAAAGTACTCCAAGATGTAGATGAGTTTGTTTCTTCATCAGATTTGAAGGAATGTAGCATTGCATCACTTGCTCAGCAATGGATGCTCTGCAGTGAATGGGTGCCGTCAGAATGAGAGTCCAAACAGCTGATAAAAACATCACAATAATCCACACCACTCCAGTCCATCAGTTAACATCTGGAGAAGTGAAAAGCTGAAGTTAAAGACACTTTTACCTTTAAACCGTTCCTTCCAGCTAAAATGTGAGTCTTCTATCCATAATACTGCTTTCTCCTCTAAATCAGGAGAGAAATCTGCACAAATCTTCAAGATTAAGTGTTTAGTAGCGTATTTAATGTGCAATTTGTGTAAGGAATCTACAGTAATTTATTTACTTACTTTTATCTGCCATCAGACTATCTGTCACATAGTTGTTAACGCGTTGCTATGGGTTGCATCTTGCTTTGGACTTGACTGGCATTCTGGCTTTTGTGAACTTCATGCTTTCTAACCTTATCTCAACTTTTTTTCCCTTTACGTTGCAATTAATCTGCTTATTGTACATATAAAATACAAGTTTATATCTACCAATGTCTTTATACAGTGCTTGCATATAAAGAGAGATGTGTGTATCTTATTATTGGAAGATATGTAAAGAGAGAGAGAGACAGTAATTGTTAAATTGGATAATAGTGATGATGATAGATGCCCCTTTTTTTTTTTTACATTTGATGCCCTGCCCCTGAGAAAGTCTCTGCACATCCCTGTATACATTTGATTTATTTTAATAACTTTAATGTACTTCAAATGTGCACCAAGCACTAGGAAAATACAAGTATCAGATCGGGACTCTGTATCGGCAGATACACCTGATCGGGACATCCCTAGTTATTATGGATTATGGACTCGTACTTTGACCTTGATGGATTTGTTTCTTACATCCTGCAGAGGATCCATTGGTGAGCAAGTGATGTAATGCTAAATTTGACCAAATCTGTTCCCATGAAGAAACAAACTCATCTACATCTGAGTTCATTTTCAGCAAATTTTCATGAACTATTCCTTCAGTTCACGTTTACCACGTTAAATGATACAGAGCTGCACTGACATTTTCCATTGTCTAACTCTTGTCCACATTGTCTTGTTGTTTTTGTGAGTCTGAATTGTGTCCTCTCGTTCAGGTCGTTCAAGCCCATCTCTGGAGCCCTTGAGGAAGACCTCGACCCTGGAGCATGCGGTCCAGACGGCCCCAGTCACCCTCTCTGTGGCTGCAACCAGTACAGTGGGTCAGAGGAGCCCTGGAACGGCCCGACCCGCTCTCAGCACCCAGAAATCTGCTGAAAACCAGGAACAAAAAGGTGAGAATCAGGGCATTGGAAAATGACAAACATTTAAGAGTTTAATGTACATATATAGCTGAAGAAGAGTTTTTCACCTGCAGCCATTAATTGTGATATCTGTTGTTCAGCTACAGCGTCTGATGTTCAGAGGGTTCCTCGGCCAGAATCGGACTCAAACAGGCCTGATAACAAAGACCCAAACAAACGGCATTCTGGTGGTGAGTGCATGTCATTTTACCAAGGACTGCTTCTCTAATCTTGGCTTTTATCTTCGTTGGCTTCTAATCTTCTTAATTTGGACCAACAAGCTCTCCGAACCACAATCTGTAAGTCCTACGATTGATACGTTATGTGTACATTTTCAATTGTGTGCTCAAAATATCAAGTTTTTGTGCTAATATATGATGTATACCTAGTGCAGCTTTAGGTTTCCAGGTAAAGCACGATATTACTGTCTTACTGAAGTAATTCTGATGATTCGCTGTGAACCCACTATTTCCTAAGAATGTGTCGATTAATGTAGACTGACGTTGTTCTAATTACTTCGTTTAATAATAAAGAATGTAGTGTAGTGCACAGACTTTATAATCATTGTGAAATTGCTGTTTATTTTGCTGCACCGGCAGTTATAGGGTTAATGCGGGAGAGACAAGCGAGTTAGTTAGGCTGCTGCGCCTGTGATACAGCTGTTCTGCGTTCTGATTAAAAGTTAAGACAGCGTCTTTTGTCTGTCGTCCTTCAAACATTACAGTAGACATATTTTGGTTTACAAACTGTATTTTCATCAGTTAGTCACGTTAGCACTCGGCTAACATTTCCACCATTATTGTTTTAAGTGTTCACAGTTTAGCAGCTAAACTTTAGCTGTGGGCACGATTCGCTTGCGTAAGTGTTTTTGTATTTTATGTCATTGTTATAAGAACGGATTGGAGCACTATATTATTGTTTTATGCAAAGGTGCTTTGTCAATGGTAGCGCTCGCTAACTTGCTCAAGGACTTCTCTCTGTGCCAATCACAACAGGCTTGGCCAGCTGACCAATCAGAGCAGAGTAGGCTTATGGAAGGGAGGGGTTTGCTCCGAACTTGCTTGGAACGAATCGTTTCGAAATCATTGGCAAATGACTCTAATATTAAATGTATATTCTGAGAAAATTACAATGTTTTCTGACCTTTGATGCATTTAAACCTGTTGTAGGGGACTCCAACACAATATTAGGACACTTTAAAATACCATATGACCTGCTCTTTAAAACTCATGTCCTGCATTTGCATAAACATGATCATGATCAGGACCATAAGCTTCATTTGTGATAATGGTTATTTCTCTCTCCAGGTGGCGCTCCTCCAGTGAGAAAGGGGCGGGGCAGTGGTGGTGGTGGAGGCGGCGGTCAGCGTGGGCGGGGCAGGTTTAACGGGCGTAGAGATGGGCCAATGAAATTTGAGAAAGACTTTGACTTTGAGAGTGCCAACGCACAGTTCAATAAGGAAGAGATTGACCGCGAGTTCCAAAACAAACTCAAGATTAAAGGTGCTGTGTGGGAAAACTGTATTACTATTGGCGCTTTTCCACTGCATGGTACGGCACGGTACGGCTCGGTACGGTTCACTTTTGGGGGGTTTTCCACTGGGTACAGTACCTGGTACTTTTTTTAGTACCACTTCGGTTGGGGTTCCAAGCGAACCGTACCGTTACCAAAACGTGACGTGTAAACTCTGCTGATCACGGATTGGCCGGAGAGAATCGTCACTACCTGCGTCACTGAACTTGCGACACAAACACAAAAGAACCGCTAGATTTAAATCAGCACAGCCAGCGAAGGATCGAATGCAACTGTTTTGAACGAGCGCACCTTTTTTTAACAACCAAAAAGTGGCTGTTCCCCCTGTTGAGGAAGTACAGACGTTGCTCTTGTTGATAGCAGAGGAGCGGATCCAGTGAGAGCTTGATGGAGCGACGCGGAATGAAAAAGTTTTTTAGGAGTCGCGGCAGCAGAGGCGGCGCAACTATAATGACATGTGAATAATCCCGCCCACTCTAAAGCGATACTAAACTGCAGTGGAAACGCAAACCGAGCCGTGCCGTACCGTACTGAGCCGTACCGAGCCAAGTCGTACCACGCAGTGGAAAAGCGCCATATGTTACATCAACACAAACCAAGAGTGCAGTATTCATTATTAGGTTTAATTTTGAATGTCAGTATTATAATATCACTCTGCGCTGCAGATGAGAAGAGTGAGAAATCAGAGAAGACTCTGAACGGGGAGGAGAAGACCGATTTAGGTGTGGAGACCCAGAACAGTGAAAGCAACGCTGATGAGGAGGATCCACTGGGACCCAACTGTTACTACGACAAATCCAAGTCCTTCTTCGACAACATCTCCTGTGACGACTCCAGGTGAGATCTCGGCTCCTGCGCGAACATTTTTAGTATGTTCATTAGGGCTGGGTATTGGCACAGACTTCACGGTTTGATTCAATTCCAATTCACAAAACTCTTGATTCGATACCGATTCATTTGGAAATATTTCAGATACATGTGAATTTTTCTTAAGGAGAAGACCCCTCTCATTTGGTAACACAAAAAGTTATATTTAGCAAATTTAGTACAGTACATATAAGGCAGTTTTTATACCAAAATTAGTTTTATACTCACACTTTTCTTTCCTGTTCACTGTTAAATTTATAGTATTTGTTGTTGATTGAGAGTAACTAAAATAATGTTTATAGTGTTTTATAATGTTTGTAAAAGCTGTAAACACCTAATCAATGTAATACAGTACATATAATTAGCAAAATGCTTCTCTCTAGAGTTATTTTTTGTCTCGTTGACTAACGAGCTATGGACATTGAATGGTCATATTATTGATGTCTATTGCCACATTAGAGTAAGAGTACCAAAACAACAGTTTAAATTTTGTGACAGTTTTCTTATCAGAAGTATCAATGTACAGTTTTATTCACACATCAGCTGAAAACAGCATCGACTAACAGATCAAAATTGGGTAATCAACATCTTCAACCCAGCCCTAATGTCCATTAACAGTGTGTTCTCAGATGTGACGCAAGTTATGAAACAGTATGCAGTATTCAACAATAGGCTATGCTATACAGTAATGCTACAAAAAATTACTACAATTGTCACATGATCTTGCTACAATGCTCAAGTCACAGAAATAGCATATTAGTCCAGTTTTCTGTAAAAAATGTTTTTTTTAACAGTCTGATCCAACAGTGAGTCATGAAAAAGCATCAGCGTTTAACATCTATCTTGTCTGACTTGGTTCGAACAGGGTGTAAATGCTTTTGAGCGATTCAGTAATTCTTCATTTAGTGTAGTAATTTGTTGTGGTGAAGTTTAGAAGTAACGGTGAATGAATCATCTAATAGGCGTACGCTCTTCTGTCTTTTCTAGAAAGGAGAAATCTGGAGGTGCTTTTGGAAGGTGCAGTCTTTTTATATATATATATATATATATATATATAAATGTTTAGACATGCTAATGTGTTTATGAAGCTACGCTTGTGAATTCTGGGTAGTCGGAATCATATTCAAGAAATTCAGATGGTGTCGCACAGGAATATTTCTTAAGATGGAAATGATTCTTTGTGAGTGGGATCTTTTAATCTTTTTTTTTGAAATAACCAGTTATTACAAACAATTTAAATATTTAAATTAATTGGTCAGAAAGTGTTGAAAACCTGATCAAATGATATAACCAAAGCAACAGAAATGTCACTGTGTTTTCAGGTTGCATTTTAAAAGATTAGCTACCTTCTAATTTTGTCACACAGTCAATTTTCTCAACAATACAATGAAACCTTTCATTGCAAATTTGTCCATGGCATCTTATAAAGCAGCTGTTTTTTTATATCAGACTCCAAATCTAGCTCACGCCAAGATGAATGTCACGTAAACGTTGCAGATTAGACAGGCATCCTGCCAAAGGTGGATTTTTTAGATTGAATCTTGCACAACAGCAGTAATGAATGACACACTGGCTACGTTTACATGCAACCAAATAATCCGTTTGTAATCGGATTGACGGCTCAATCGGACTGAAAAGCCTTCATGTAAACACCTTAATCGATCCGATTGAGGTCGATCGGAATTAAATTGATTTATTTATGAATAAATATGAGCAGCACGGCACAGCGGTGTATATGTATACTTATCCATGAATGGATAAATATAAATTCTGCTGTTAAAAACAAATAAAGAAACCGTGTAGGAGAGTGGTTATTATGTGCAAACAGTGAGAAACTCTATATTTGTGCAGTGCGCGCATGTCAAAAAAAATCAATTCCGATTTGAAGCTTGTGACATATAAACGCGCACATCAACCCGATCGCTTTATTTAGCGTTCATGTAAACACTACATTCAGATTCATCAATCGGAATGAATTCAGTCCGATTGAACCAGAAATTGTGCATGTAAACGTAGCCACTGTTGAATTGCATTCTGATGTATTTTTCATTCTCAGGGAACGGAGGCAGACCTGGGCAGAGGAGAGGAGGATGAACGCCGAGACGTTCGGTATTCCGCTGCGTCACAATCGTGGACGCGGTGGTTTCCGCGGCAGAGGTGGCGGCATGGGCTTCCGTGGCGGTCGCGGGCGTGCGGTTAGCAGGGGCTCGTTCATGCCCTCCCGCGGGGGTGGAGGCGGATTCAGGGGCGGGTTTAGAGGCGGCAGAGGAGGACGAGAGTTCTCTGACTTTGAGTACAGGGTTAGCACTTCCTCTCTTACCACAGTAATGGACCCTTTTCACAGTTCTCAGAAGCAGAAATCATGATAGCCGGGTGAACTTCTTCAGTGATGAACGGAAACTGCAACAAATCATTTTTGCACAATAGCGTTTTTATGATTTTTCTTTTTCAAATCAAGATTGATTATTTTAGTCAGAAGAGAGCCGTTAGAAACTCTCATGCAGCAGCATTAACTAGTTTTGTAATTTAAAGCCAAGGTAATATAATACAAAGTATAGTGTTATATAATGAAGCTTATTTAAAAAAAAACAAAAAAAAAAAAACGTTAGTTTTCTGATGCAAATAACTGTGGAAATGCATTGTCACAATCTGTGAAAAGGGTCCATCTCAAATATTAGGGATGTGGAATGTGTTGTACTTTGTTGGGTAACACTTTAGAATAGGGAACACATTCACTATTAGCTAAGAGTTTTCCCTGAACAAACTCCTAATTTGCTGCTTATTAATAGTAAGGTAGTTAAGTTTAGGTATGGGGTAGAGAATAACAGATCTAAAATATGGTCATGCAGAATAAGCCATTTATATGTACTAATAAACAGCCAATATGCTAGTAATATGCATGCTAACAAGCATCTAGTTAATGGTGAGAATTGATCCTTAAAATAAAATGTTACCCATTTTTGGTAATTAAAATAAAATTAGTCAAGATAACTTACACTGGTTTATTTAAGGTAGTTGCCAAGGCAACATTTCTAATTTTTGTTTAAGTTGAAAAATTACTGAAATAAAATTAAAGCTATTTAAACATTTAAAAATGTAATGTTTATATATGTAGTATGTATATAAAGGCTCATAAAATTGCTAAAAATGAAAATAAAGATAAAAGCTAATTGAATATATTGATGAATACTATAATCGTATATTATAAACAATACTAAAATAACACTGGTGTTGTGACTATATCATTATCAGCCAATTTAGAGATTTGGCATTTCGTCTTATTTGTCTGATATTGGAATATTGGGCTTTTTACCCCCAAATTAAACACTTTCTACGACAATGAAATTAGTAAAATGATTTAAATGCCTTCTAACCTTAGTCTTTTCTTTTGTGTCTGTGTGTTTGACGTTTGTTTCAGAAGGAGAACAAAGTGGCGGCGTAGTCCAACCTGAAGACCAGATCATCCCAACAGCCAAGAATCTCCGATCATCTCGTCTAGATTAACGCTTTGGTTTTGACTCCTGACTAACGGGAACTGCCTCTCTCTGTTTAACACCAGCGCAGGCGACGCCTGCCTTCAGCTGGACACGCAGCTTTGAGTTTATTTTCTCCTTCCTTTTTTAGAAAAAGAAAAAAAAACATTTGCTGTTTTTTGGAAACGTTCGATCTGCATTCGATACGTTCGGACGGGAGAATTTGTGTAATAAATGCCGTAAAACTTCCGTGGAATGATGATGATTACTATTATTATCTGGTATTTTTGCATCAACCTTTAGTTCCTTGATTGATAATATTCAGTTAGGTGTACAGACCCCGCTGATACTGTGAGCGCTCCTCAGTCATATAGCTTTATTATGCCAAGGTTTTTGTTTTTTTTTGGATCTGTTCTCTAATGTCTTTTGAAGCACCAAAACCCAGTCTAGAGGCTGCGGGGTTTGAGTCGGCCCGCTGGATTCACGTCTGTGCTGGTTTGGTGCTCATCCGTCTGGTAAATGTAGGTGCTTTTGCTTCATTTAATAGTTTGACATGGTTTGTAGTACTAGTACATTTTTTTAGTTCATTAGTTTATTTCATCCCCCAAAAGCTCTTTTTTTTGCGGATAGTCTGGTCGAGCCTCAGCGGGTCACAAAAACACCCTGGTTTATGATTGAATGTATTGATGAATTCAACATTTGTTTTTGTCTTGAAGTCCTCTCTCTGCCACTCTAAACAGGAAGTTTGTTTCACCTTGCTGTTCTTCTCTTTAAAATGTATTTTGATATTTGAGTACCAGTTATTCTTGCCTTTTGATGTCAATTATGTAAATTTAACTAAGAGGGCTTTTTGATATAAACTTGACAAACCCCGAACGACGAGCCCCATCACTGTTTAATGCCAAGATCTTCTGGAAAGATCCTGAAACCCTTTAAGAACCAGATTGGATGTCGAAATTGTGTTCATGTGCACTTTAAAGACAAACGACGCCTGTGTAGCGAGTCACACATGATGTGCGGGCTAAATTTGATGTCATTTTATAAAGCTCATATACCAGAAAGTGACTTGGTTGAATTGTGCAAGGAGGTTTTTCACAATGTACAGTATTTCAGTATAGATTCAAAAGGACTGATGCATCGCGTAGCTCTGTAAAAACATTTGACGTCACATTAGAGGCTCAGTCTAAACGGGAGGCGAGTTTCACCTGAATTAAGTGTCCATGAACCCCTCTATTGTGAATAGTTCTGTTTCCTGTTTGATCCACTTGTATGTTAACGTGTTGTTTCAGGTACCAGCCATCTATTGCTCTGTTACTGGAGTGAAGTTTGATCCCGTCTCTCTCCTTTGAATGTCACTGAAGCACTAGTTCCTGCACTGTTGGATGGGAGTTAATTATTTTTCGCTGTGCGTCATATTTTTAATTTGTGTTTCAAAGATCCAAAGACTGAATTACGGATGGCATTTGGAGGAGAAGTGCTCTCTCAGCTGGTTCTGCATTATTTTTCTCCGCGTTCGCCGTCTTGTCCGTTTCTTAGTTTTCAACTCTACTTGCATTAACTAAACCGCTCCTTTCAAAAAGCACTACGAATTGCAACACGCAGGCAGCTAGTGAAACACAGTCTGAGCTATCACTCAGACCAGGGCATGATGGGAAACCTCTGAGTGAGTGGCAGATATCGGTGCTGAGCAGCTGAATTTGGACTGGAGTGAGATGTGAAAATGAGTCCTCAAGCCTGATGCCACGATGAAGTCGAAGCGGACCTTGTGTGAGATGTTAAACTGGACAGACGTGCAGAATGTGTGGTGTATTACAGGGTTGATGTGATTTTTTGGGTCAGAGCTCTGGAGGAATTTGATTGGCAAGTTTGTTTTTGTTTAGTTTTTCTGAATTGGAGCAGTTGTACATTGTATGCTCTTAGGGGGCTTCAAACGGGGCAAACCGGTTTTTATTCAACAAGAGAAATAAATAGTTGTTCAGTATCCTGTGTGTGTGCATACTTGTTTTTTATCAATAAACGTATGCAAACAAGAACAATTAGCATGTGCCAATGATCCTAGTTTTCAAAAAAAAAAAATCAATGGGTAACACTTTACAATAAGGTCTCTTTTATTAACAGTTAATCCATTATCTAACATGAACAAACAAAGAGTAATATATTTTGTACAGCTATTATTTATATATATATATATACACACACATGTATATATATATTTTTTTTTTTAGTTATTTTTGAGTGTTACAGGGTTATGAAAGCATAGCAACTTTTTACTTTCAGAATTAAGAATATTTAATTTATTGGTCATCTTATAACGTTCTCGTAGCATAAAAAAAGTTCACAGTGCATTACATTTTTAACACAACTTTTGACTTTAAAAATGTATTACTAAATGTTGAAAGTAACATTAATGATGCTGTAGAATTGTTGTTCATGTTATCCAGTGCAGTATAAAGTGTTGTGTTTTAAATAGGATTTTTTAATACTATTGGGGATATTAAAAGCATATTAAGAAAATAAATTCTTGATTCTGAAAATAAAATGAGAAAAGTCATGCAACGTGAAAACTAAAATGTTATTCGTTCTATACTAAAAACATGACAGTGTAGGCTAAAATATCACTGCAGTTATGTTATAGCTGTTTTTTTTTTAATTATTAAAGAAAAACTATGAATGTCACTATATTAAAGCGATTAACGACAATGAATTTCGTGATTCTAGAAATTTAAAAACAGTTGCTGAGCAGCCAGATTAAAGAATATGTCAGATACTTGTTGAAAATATTGAAGGCTATTAATCTTTTAGAAGCTCTCTTTTTTTTTTTTGCATTTTTAGCCACATTTTAACAGCATTTTTTTTGGTTAGATTATTTGAATATAAATTAATTTAGATGTTTTTAATATTTAATTTAAATAAATCTCAGAAATAAAGGTACAACAGCTGTCACTGGGGCGGTGCCTTTTCAAAAGGTACACTTTTGTAACTATTAGGTTTTGTGTACACTTTAAGTACCAATATGTACCTTTAAGGTACCAAAATGGACCCTTTAGGTTCAAATAAGTACCTTTTGAAAAGGTACCACCCCAGTGACAGCTGCTCTACCTTTATTTCTGAGAGTGTACATATAAAATAATAATGTAAATCAACATCATATTCTGATATTTTAGCATTGTAATTATCTTAGACTATTTTAATACAACAATTTGAATATTTAAATTAAATATCCTGTTTCAAAAACAGATACTGAGGGGTCAGATTAAGAAATATAATGTCAGTTTACAGTACATGTCTGGATCTTAACATTTTATTCTGTTCTTTTAAATATTTGTAATATTTTTGCAAAGTTCTAAACTGTGGTTTACTGGTTGAGAAACACAGCTCTGTGTAATACATAACTTATATTATGTACAGTTGTGAGCTTGTTTTACATTTCATATCGGCATTATGTATTGGATATTGATTTTTTTAAGAAGAGAAAAGGCGTCAGTGCTGAAGTGACCGGCAGGCGTCAGTAATGAAACGCGTCAGTAATAGTGATGGGAAGTTCGGATCATTTTAACGACTCGAACGAATCTTTTTTCGAGTCATTTCGTTCATTTTAGCAAAATATAGTTAAAATGTTACGTGTTACTTCCCTAATACGTCTACTACTTACGCAAACGTTGATCACACTACAAACAATACAAAACTGCTATAAGAAACAGAAAAGATGAATTCATTGTTTACCTGGGTCTTCAGTCTATGATTAGCTCACCTCAGCTCTTATCTGACAAGTCTTCGGGTTTGGGCTTATGGGGCTGTCACGTGATGAATGAACGACTCAAACCCGAAGACTCGAAACAGGTGAACTACTTGACTAATTCCAGTACAGAACCTATAGGATGTTGCGCATGCGTGACTGAACGAATCACTCCCCGAGACGACTCGTTCTTCCCGAGTCACATTAAAGATTCGTTCAAAATGAACGAATCGTTCAAGAACGACCCAACACTCAGTGTTGCCAACTTAGCAATGTTGTTGCTAAATTTAGCAACTTTTCAGACTACCCTAGCAACTTTTTCTTCCAAAAGCACCTAGCAACAAATTTAGCTACTTTTCAATTTTATTTGGCTACTTTACTTTTGATAAGTGACTCAAACAATAAAAAGGCACACATTTTCCATCTAAATTTCACAAAAAGAGGAAACCAAAGATGCCTAGAAGTACATACATCACATGAATTAAGTTATTGCTATTTGCAGTTGTTCAATTTGATAATAACAATAATAATTTAATAATTGTTCATTTATGATACACCTTGTTAGTAGCTTGTACATGTGATTGTTGATCAGTTAGTACACTGTAAGAAAAATATCTAGAAAAATGGCAAAGGTACTAATAATTTTCCAGGACATTATCCGTTATCCATTATCAATTATCCATTATCCGTTGTAACCCTGTAAACACAAAATACAATGCGTAATGCAGGTAAAAACCTGTGATTTATTTTCTTAGAGCGTAGCATACTGACTACTAATACACTGCTTAAAAATATAATTGTTCAGAATGTGTTTTACTAGTTCACTAGCTAATAAAAAAACTTGTAATCGTTCAAAAGTGTTCAGTGTTGTATATAAAAAGTTATTTATATTTTAACATTATATTATGCATTTATATTATTTTACGAGCAAATCTAAATTAACATAAAATATATTTTTGCTGAGATTTGATGTAGTGACAATTTTGCGTCGTGATTACGTAATGACGTCATCGCGCAGTGACATCACAACGTCATTTAGCAACTTTCAGCAACAAATCGACCTTCCTTTAGCAACTTCCCCTGAAAATTAGTTGGCAACACTGCCAACACTACTAGTCAGTAAAACCTCCGACCAGCAGAAGAAACGCGTCGAGCTGACGGAGACAGTTGATCACGCAATAAAATGCTGGAATTCATCGATTTGTTCTTCGGGGTTCGGGATTTCTGAAGCGGTTTCTCATCTTATAACGCTACACAAGTGAGGCGCGTCGGTGCTTTGAGTTCTGAGTCTTTTTTTGTTCCCAAACGGCAGCGCGGAAAAGAGCAAATTAACCAGGAGACAATGCAAAGAGTGAGTGGACGTTTCACTGCTTGATACGGTCACGGACGCACACACAGTTCGGTTATTTACGAGAGAAATAGCCGTATTCTATAACCGATCTCTGCCTCACGTTTTCGGGACTCGCGGAAGCGCAACGGACGACTAACGTTAGTTCCGTAACTCAGCGCGGTGTGTCGCGTGTTTTCGGTAACTTACAGAGACGCAGGTATCGAGCTGAACGTCTTCTGAAGGGTTTAGATCCCCGGTCACCGTCTTTCATCGGAGCCGCTCCCGTCAGTTCACCGGGGGTGAAGCCGCTGTCCGTTGAGATTTGAAAATTGAATTCGCGCCACTTCTATCCGCTGCTGTGTGAACGCGAAAGTTCCACGAATCGATTGAAACAATAAAAACGCGAATAGTTTATGTATACATGGAATATAACCATTATTTAAAGAGTAAAATCACAAACTCAACATTTAGTATATAATCATTATTTTTAAGTGAGAAAACACTCAAACTCAGTATAAGTTGTGCAGATATATAAGAAGTTAGATTTATTGCAAAAATGTATTAAAAGGAAAATTAAAGGGGGAAATATACTAACAAACAAGGGAAACCTCAAGCAGTATGAAAGATAAAATCATAAACTTATTATTTATTAGTTTAAGAGGTTTCACAGTATGGGCAATTTCAACAATAAAGACTTCAAATCTAGGTAGTGTTGAGAATTTTGTTATTGTAAATTGAAACAAAATGGAAACACAAAACTAAAGAGTTGCACCAAACATAATTACAAAAAAATTCCTCCATATATATATATATATATATGTAATTACAACTGTATAGTTATTATTTTACAATTATATATTTCATATATAATATTTGATTGAAATTATTCATAATGTTTTTACTTCAATGCTTTGTATAGTAAATGTATAAACAACAATAAACACTTGCACTTTTACATACGCAGCAGAAGTCCACAGACCATCTCCATTTTCATCACTAATTATTTAGTCTGAATTTGATGATGCTTTCACTCACAAAAGCATATTTTCAGCTCCATTTAACATTTAGCCATGTTTAAATCCATTCTGCAGAAACAGATATATGTATCTACATATATGTTGTTATAAAGTATTTACACACCATGTTTTTGTTAACCCAAACACATTACAGTCATGAGAATGAGAAAATGTGAATACTAAATATGCAAAAGGATTCAAAGACGAAATGAAAGCAGATGTTATGTTATATGTTTATTTTTTGCATTGCTGGTACACTTGGAAATAATCAGTTGCCAGCTCTAGAGAACAATAAGCAACATAAGCCAAGCAGTCGCCCCCTCATGTCTTAAGTCAGGGCAACGTCATTTCTTTCTATTTAATTTTTTTAAACTCCTTTTATTTTTTGAAGCTACTAGTAAACCATTTTGACACAGCTGAGAAATGTTGAGCATTACAGTCCAAGGTCATCGAAAATGTTTAATCTGAAAAAAAAATAAATAAAAAAAAATGCCGAAACAGGTGGGAGAAAAACATGGACGAAGCAACGAACCTATATTTTGATTGTGCAAAGCACAGAACTATAAAAAGATATATTTATATACAGCAAACGATTCTCTGTAAACATGGTAAGTATGTTAGTTTTCAGAAAACATGGTCATCTCATAAATACAGGCAACATTGGCATCGGCAAACGTCACGAAATTAACATTCTGGGCTTTTCAGATGCGGCCCGAAACCACAGAAACCAACGGGAATCTGGCCTCAAAATAACCACAAAAAAAAAAACACCCCAATCCGACCAGAACCATTTATTAGTGTTTATAATGGCGTATTTGGTAACCTCTGTAGAAAGAAGGTATAGTTAAACTCTGTAGGAAAGAAAAGAAATGTGTTTCACATCTTGGGAAAATAATGTTTTACTTAATAATAAGCCTATATTACGCTAACTTATAGAGTAATGGTATAATGTGTAAGAAAATACAAAAATAAGATTAATACTGTCAATATTTGTACAAGAAATATATCGTATTTGAAAGGAATACATGTTATTTTTATGGGAAGTGTTAGTGTCGTTCTGAAGAAAGCCAATGGGAAAATGAACGCGTTTGACCGTACAGAAGGGTTTGTTTTTGCTAAAAAGTTGTTTCTCTTCTTTCTAGATAGAACTACTACTACGGCTCCCAAACGGCATTTTTTTTTTTAAAGCACCATTTCCCCCCTCTAAACAATACTTTGGTTAGAGAAAATATCTGCAAGTGCTATTCAAAACAACATGGCACAAAGTTACTACTAACATCCTTTTTTATTTGTATTTTTAATCTTTTTTTTATCTCTCAGATGTTGAAAAAGTAGTGTATTTCTTTCAAATTACACCTCTGCTATGATTACTATATTTCTGCCGAGCCTGCTCAAAGCCTCTTCGTAAAAAGTAAATTATTTATAGTTCTTTTTCGTTTCTTTTTTCGAGTCATTTACAAGCTATGGAACAGTAGCTGAGAGCTGCAGTCTGGGTCGTCCCATGTGACATTTGGCAGTTACAGCTATTTAAACAGTATCGTTATGTGGGACGTCCGGTTAGCAGACCAGGACGTCCGGATCTTCGTAATGCGGCTGCGATAGTGCGCTGTGAGTGAGCACGGTGGCCATGCATATCGAAAAAGTCGTGTAAACTCGAAGCCGAACGCCGCCACGAGACTGAAGGCATCAGTCGTGCCGATGCGGCCGCCAGTGAAATGGTCCGACTAGCTGCTGTTAACATGAATCATGCATCGTTTGGACAGCGTGGAAGGCAGTAACGTTCTGTTCGGGGATGTTTGACACGCATCGGTGTACAAAAATGTTTTTGACCACTATGTTAAATGCAAATTTCCCTATAAAACACTTCTAGTTTACAAGTTTGGAGTCTAGATCAGGTTCACAGCACACCACAAGATCAAGGTTTCTACGACGCCGTGTTTGGATAATTAAATAACATCCTTCCGCTTCCCCGACACAACCGAAACCCCTTTATAAAGTTTCTCAGTGGCGTCCTACTCAAAGCCTTTAAAAGCTGATCTGGGTTCACATCCTGAGCGTTACTCAAAATACACGAAAAGGGTCTGCGACCTCTCCCAGCACAGGTCCAGCTCAGTACTGGTGCAGGTACGAGGGTCGATGCTCGGGTTTGAGCGGGAAGGTTTTGAAGCCTTTGCTCAGGATCTTGTGCTGGGAAACCTGCTGCTGCTGCTGCTGTTGTTGTGTGAACGGGAAGCCGGAGGACATCCCGGAAGATGGAGGGCAGTCATTGGCTGTCGACCACACCGGAGACTGCAGCATTTGCATGGAGTCGCCCCATTGGCTGGAGGGGATGGTCATCTGGTAGAGGGAAGAGCTGGGATTGGGCATGGTGTTGGTGTGTGAGGAGTGCTGCCAGGGGGCTTTAGGAGGCCAGGTTTTAGTTTTGCTGTCCTGTAACACAAAGAACACAAGACATATTTACATTTATGCATTTTATCCAAAGCGGTACATCCTTGAATGCAATGAAAGTCCTGAGAATCGAACCCATGATCTGAGAATCAATCCCTTGAACTTGCATATTGGGAATCGAACCCATTACCTTACATCCTGGGAATCGAACCCATGACCTTTCGAAAGTCCTGAGAATCGAACCCATGATCTGAGAATCAATCCCTTGACCTTGCATATTGGGAATCGAACCCATTACCTTACATCCTGGGAATCGAACCCATGACCTTTCATCATGGGAATCAAACCAATAACCTTGTGTCCTAGGAATCGAACATATGGGAATCAAACCCATGACCTTACATATTGGGAATCGAACCCATTACATTACATCCTGGGAATCAAACCAATGACCTTGTGTCATAGGAATCGAACATATGGGGCTCAAACCCATGACCTAGGAATCAATCCCTTGACCTTGCTTATTGGGAATCGAACCCATTACCTTACATCCTGGGAATCGAACCTATGACCTGGGAATCAAACCCAAGACATTTCGTCCTGGGAATCGAACCCATGACCTTTCGTCATGGGAATCAAACCAATGACCTTGTGTCCTAGGAATCGAACATATGGGAATCAAACCCATGACCTTACATATTGGGAATCGAACCCATTACATTACATCCTGGGAATCAAACCCATGACCTTGTGTCCAAGGAATCGAACATATGGGAATTGAACCCATGACCTTGGCATTGTTAGCACCATGCTCTACAGTTCTACAATGACAAATGCTGATGCTCAAGATGGTGAAAACAGTTTAACGTATTTAAAAAGTTTCCACTTGAGTTTCAAAGATTCTAAAAACAAGTTTTTAGTTTCTGAGACATGTAATCTGTGTATTCATGGTGGTCTGATGTTATTCAAATCTTTTAAAAATAATTTAAAAATAAGTGACTAATAAAAAAAATGTCAAAAGATGTGTCAAATGTCATACAATATATTTATATTGAACAAATATTGACAGTATTAATATTATATTTGTATTATGCTACACATTATACCATTACGCTATAAGTTAACGTAATATAAGCTTAAGTAAAACATTTTCCCAAGATGTGAGGTACATTTTTTTCTTTCTTAAAGAGTTTAACTGTACCTTCTTTTGCACAGACATTGTCGCAATAAAAAAATGAACTATGTAAAATAAAAATAAAGATGAGTTTAACATTTAAAATTATTTTTTTTAATTTTCAAAAATGTAAATTAAATATAAATTTTTTTAAATCATGACTATCATGAAGTTTTCTTGGGGTTTTTACATTTAACAACACCTGAAATAACTTTCATAATAAATAATCAGAATCAAATGATCGGACAATTTAAGATCAGAGATCAGAGTCCTCTCTGTGATGTCATTTCCTGGCATCTAACATTGAATTTAATGCGACATCAGAAAATTGTTTAATTAATAATCAAAAATTGTGTTTAATGGGCTAAGTTACAAATACAGTGCATTATTACCAATTTGAAATGCATGGGGCGCCAACTATGAACACAAGGTTGTTCATTTTATTTTTGCAGAAAGACAATCAACTCATGTAGCCAGAGTTGGAAAAACTCTTCAAGTTCTTAGATCCAAACTTTAACGCAGAACTCAATACAGAACTTTTTCCTTAAGATGCACAACTGTTGTCTCAAGTTAATTTGACAGCATTTTAAACACCACATCACATTTACATATGATCTCTATACAGAAAAATTGTTTTAAAAAAAAAAAACAATAACAGCTCCATATGAGAAAACACCCACTGTTAAACTCCACCTCTTATTATGATGGAATATATATGTGTGGGTGTTTATTGAGTCATTAGTACCTGGTTACTGTCGTCACTGGTGTGGTGGAGAGGAGGAGAGGGCAGAGTGCACACTTCCTGTTCGCCACAGCTGTGTTTCCTAAAAACACACTCAACATGAGGGACACACTCATCTCAAACACACCGTCCTGACAAAATGTTTTGGATAGAAGTGTCTGATAAACAAAATTAAACTCCTACCGTCTTTGTTTAACAGCTGCCACCAGGTCAGGCCCGGAGAACATGGAGAACAGACTGTCCCCATTGGCTGAGGACGCCTCGTCACTCGAGCTGGCCGAATCCCCCTGATTGGCTGACCAGCCGCTGTTGACCGCCTCCCTGCTCGAAAACAAACATCGATATTAACATATAGAACTATTATTAACTGCAATATTTACACTATGGTTCAAAAGTTTGGAATAATTACGATTTTTTAATATTTTTAAATAAGTCTCTTCTGCTCACCACCCCCCCAAAAAAAACACTAAAAATAGTACAGCAGTAATAGTACTACAGTATAATAAAAGTATTTAATGATGATATGGCAGATTGAAACAAATTAAAAAAAATAATAATATAAAATACGAAAATCAGTGTTGTCAGAATCAGTGTTCTTACTGTTTACTAAAACTATTAAAACAATTTTATAATTGAAATAATGCTCAAATAAAATATAAATATTAGATGAAACACTTAAACTTAAAAAACCTAAACAAAACTTATAAATGCTGCCTTGGCAACTAACAGAAATAAATTGGTTAAGTACAAAAATGACTAAAAATAAAAAAAAAAAAAAGAATAACAAAAGTAAAAAAAAAAAAAAAAGATTAAAATGAAACTGAAAATATAACAAGATATTTAATATTTAAATATAAAAAAAAAACAAATGTGTGACAGTTCCAGCTAAAAAAGTACTCTAAATATACATAAGAAAATGTCTTTTTAGCTGGGACTGTCATACATTTGAAACGGTTTTATTATCTGTTTTTGAAAAAATATTTATACTTTTATAATTTTTATATTTTGTATCATTTTCATTTTTAGTAATTTCTTGTACTTTTGTAATTTTTATTAGTTTTTTTAGATTTTTGTAATATTTCTAATTAGCTTTAAGTCATATAGCAATGTTTAGAATTTATAAATAATTTTAAAAAGTATATATACACACACACACACACACACACACACACACACACACACACAAAAAT